TGCCGATGCTGGCGAGCATGTCGATGGTCTCCTTGTCGACCTCGATGCGGTCGACCTTGATCTCGGACTCGTCGGGGACGAAGTCCATCCTCCTCTCGCGCTCCTCCTCCTGCAGTTTCAGCGAGATGCCGCGGACGGGGCCGCGCTGGATCCGGCGCATGAGGTGGGTGGAGAAGCCGGCGATCTTGTTGCGGAGGCGCTTCGAGGGGATGATGGCGACCTCCTCGAGGATCTTCTTGTTGGTGTGGAAGTCGAGGGTCATGCGCGAGTAGTAGCGCTCGATGACTTGGCGGGAGGATTTCATCACTATTTTTGTGCAGACGCGACCCATGTCTGAGGATTTAGGGTGTGGGTTTGGGGATTTCGCTCGCACGCCGGCTGCTGATGGCTGAAAGACGACAACAACGACTCAAAAAATGAGGATCTGCAGGACGGTGAACTCCAGAGCGGCGGCTAGGGTTCGGCAGATTGGTTCGGAGCTAGAGAGCTGCGGGTCCGAATGTTGGGCCGGAGATTTACGTCCGTATTGTTGATGGGCTGTAGACGGGCTTGGGCTTTAGTGAGAGGAACGTTTCAGAGTTGGCTCAACTTTTCTTGTAACGATGGGCTATTTGCGCTTTGGTACCCGCAAAGTTTTGCACGCTTGAGCTTTGATACCATACGGTGCTGTTTAAACAATTTGCTACTCCAAATTGCAAAAAAGAAAAAAGAAAATTAAACTTCTAACCTGATTATATGTATCGTCTAAATCCAAATTATGTGTTTGGGCTTTTATTTTTCTTCCCGAGATTGAAATCAATATGTTTCATGTCAATAGATTTAATGCCTAATATATAGGTATGCTTGGTACCAAGCATATTTTTTATGTTTGATAGTGAGGTGGCACAATTCCCTCCACTCATAAAAATGGGGGACCACATTTACATCGGTTGAAGAGTACATGTGGATATGCAACCATTTGAATGAGTGGAAGAGATTATGTCACTTCACTACCAAGCATAATTTTTTCGTGCTTGGTACCAAACATACTCATTTTTCTTATATATATATCGGTTTTTCTATAGAGTGCCCTTGGGCACTCTATAAGAGAGGAGAGAGATAGAGAGAAATGAATGAGGAGGGGGCCCCCCTGATTTGCATTGGGATCCTCTCTTCATTCATTTCTCTCTATCTCTCTCCTCTCTTATAGAGTGCCCAAGGGCACTCTATAGAAAAACCGTATATATATATATGTGTGTCCATGGAGAATTTTTTTCTCTAGATCCGCCTAGCTGGGCACTAAACTTTAGAAAAACACTCAAGTGCCCTACTGAGGTTGTTCCCGCTAGACAACAATTCGATTCATGAAAATACAAAAGCAATTTAAATTTAAGCACATACACAAACAAACATGTATATATGATTATGTATGTACATGCACGCACACGAATAAATATGTATGTATATGTGTTATTATATGTAAAGTATCACCGAAGAAAATATAACTGAATATTTTTTTTTTCAAAGAAGATGCAACATTTATCCTCGTAACCACAATTTAAAGACCGCTTCCTCAATGGCATGTACATACACACACGCACGCACGCACGCCATAGCTTCTTCCAATTCTGACATTTTTTTTCATTTCACCTAAAAGTTCGTAATTGTTTACTAAATGATATGCACCTATAGATTAGGAAAATGCTAGAGATTCACAGATTATAAAATTTAATTATAACCAGACTTTTCAAAGAGAATAATTCATATATCCAATCTTCTACATTACACGTGAGCGCATGTACTGCACGGAACTTCACATATTAAGCTTCTATTTGCTACGAGCAAATCACGGCACAATGCATGCCATATGAATCTTATGATGCCTATTAGTTAGGTATGAAAAATTACACAATTCATGCCCAAACTATTATGCGGAACGTTGACAGTGACGGTGGTAACATGGGTTACTTCTGGCCTAGGGGGGTTTTTCAACAACGTAAATGATTTGGGGGGTTATTTAGAAATATCAAGATTTGAGGGTGTTGTATAAAAATAAGAAAGATGTGGGGGTACTTATACATAAAAACACAATAGAATTATAAGTAGTCTACTGAGGGCATCTCCAACAGTTTCTCTAAAATTTTTTCCAAAATAGGAAAGCAAAAGTCATATTCTCCAACTAACTTTTACACTAACTCTAAAAGCTTCCTCATTTTGAAGAATCCTTTTTTTACTCCAAAAATTTGAAGAATGCTTCAGATTTGGGGAAACTTTCCTATTTTTTCTACTTCATACCTATTTTGAGGAATGAGACGAGAAATCTGTTGGACCAAAAACCTAAATAAATTCTTCAAAAGTGGGAAATGTAAAAGCTGTTGAAGATGCTCTGGCAATTTGGGTGATGTGACAAGTGGTCTATTTGCAATTAATAACCCTTTATAAGTCGGAGTCTGTAAGCGGCACTCGCGGAGGAGCACCACAAATCTCGTATCGCGTCGCTTTTCATGGCTCTTTCAAGCCAGAACTGACGTTTCGCTGTACAAGTACAAATTCAGCGTGTACTTATCGCATCATTGTTTTTTAATTATTATCTCCTTCGTAAATCTCAAAAAAAAAAAAAAAAACTCCCCGGATAATATGTTCCCTACTCTAGTTTAGTTTCCATTATATTTATTTAGTTTTGGTTTTTGTTAATAAAATTTCTCTTGTGATTTTTTTTTATTCAAGCATATAGTCATAAAGTCTCGAAGACTTATGCGTTTGTGTATTCTTGTTTGCCCAATGTTGCACATATAAACCTTCAATTTGTTAATGTCCTCACTTAAATGTCCTAAAGTTTCTAAAATTTTCACTTTAATATTTTCTGTTGTGTGACATTCTTGGATATCTAGAGGAAAATTAATACCGTCAAGATTGTTTTTAACTAAGAGGCATTAATCTCAGCATTTAAATACTTTAAAATATTTTTTACTAGGTTTTAAAATATGCATTACTTAAATACAAGGTTAGTCAAACTTTAAGGCATTCATATGCGATTTAGCCTTTGGTTTTTTAGCACAGCATGATTTTGGAAAAAAAAAACATGAAATCAATAATAAGTATACTGAAAATGGCAAAAAGAAAATTTAAGGGGAAGGATAATGAAAGGCAAGGGGAATACAAACAGGCCTAAAATACTTTTTTAATCATTTTCTATTTTATATTCTTTGCATTATTTCAAGATGAAAGGGTAGTTGAGCTGAAACCGAAGTGACTTCCTCCTCGGACCACCAACAATTACTTTTCTATTTATCAAATTGAAAAAGAGAAAGAGTAATTGCATGTTAGGCCCCTCAATTATAATTATTTATCAAAAAGTCTCTCAAATCTCAATATTTGCTTATTAATCCATCAAATTATCAAATTTCTTGCAAGTTCATCCATCTCTTAGGAATTATATTAATTTTCTACACGGAGCCTCTCTTACTCTCATTGGGAGTATAACCATTCGAAAAAGATATGGATTGGATCAAGGGAAGCTGCTGACCATTGGGGAAGAATAAGTCGGCGAGTTTGAATTTTAGCTGGAACGGGTCGCGGGTATAAATTCGTTATGAAACTGGTTAATAATGTTTTAAATAATAGAGTTAATTATGGGCGGGGGATATTAGGAAAACCATATAATTAATGCTGTTAAATTCAATAGAATTTTATACACAGAAATAAAGTCACCTAACAAGATGGAAGAGTTTGCCAAAGAATTGAAGATTTGAGGGACTACTAAGCAGATAACTGAGATTTGAGGGAGTAGCTTGCAATTAAGCATGACTTAAGGGACTAATATGCGATCACCGCAAAGAGAAGCAACAAAAAATTTCTCACATTTTTAAGTTTCACGAAAGAATAACCTCAACTGCAGAAGGCAGTGGCCAAGTCGCAAATAAGTCAAACAAACTCGATGCCGGACATTGGCGACGACGGCGGAGGGGAGCAGCAGAGAACAGGAGACGGATCCGGATCCGGACCCGATTCGCGAAAAAGGGTTTCTTGCCTCGAGACAACAGCTACCACGAGCAGTGCAGGTAAAATTCCAATAAAGTTGCAATCTTTTGTTGATCTGATTGAATTTTTTTTTGTAGTTTTTTTTATTGAATTGTGATGCTAAGAGATTTAATTTAGTTGGATATACCCTAAAAACCTAATTTTGCAAATAAATAATTTTTTTTTGAAAGGTAGGTATTGATTGCAGGCACAAAATGAATTTCTTTGCGATGAAATTGATTCATTCAGGGATCTTATGGACATGAATTAGGTTATTCTAGATAACTAGAAACAAACAACTAAATGACTGAAAATGTTGGATCTAAAGGGTTGTGAAATGTTATGCTTAGTTGTTTAATAGCTTGAAAATTGAGAAATTTTTAAACAATGGAAGTAATGAGGGTTATCAAAACTACAGTATATCTTAATCATGGTGTCTTGATAAGTTCGGGTTCGACCTATGACTCAAGCTGACTTATGATTGGGCGAGAATTTCATTGTCAATGCCGTGCGTATTGGTCTTTAGTCCATATGTATTTCCATTGGAATTTCTTTATCGTATAATGATTGAATTATTTGTTATTCTTGAAGATGTTGTGATTGTATCGAATTCATTATAGGTTGGACTTGATTTGGAAATTGGGATTTTCCATTGGAATTGTCATTTCCAATTTTCAAAGTTATAAATTTTCCAGTTATTAGTTTCTTGGAGCATGAGGGGGTAAGGACATTTGAGCCAGCATGTGCATTTTGTTCACATCAAAAAATGAAATGAGAAGACAAAGAAGAATAGGGATTGTCAATAATACGTTGTGCTCGGTTTTGTTGGACGTTGGAGAGTAGGACATAAGATGTATTAACATGAAGGATTATTCAAGATAAGGCTGTATATTATTCCTTCTCTATTACTCTTTTTTATGTAAACTTAGTTATACCCTCCACTCAAAATATGATCTATCACTTCCACTAATAAAAGTTCTTCATTTAAATTATGATAGTCATGCTATCCTTGGAAGTTTGCTAAAACTATTTAGAAGACTGGTTATCAGTACATTTTACATTTTCTTACAAATCAAGTTGGAGACAACTTCAGTCGAAGAGAAAATGAAGGAAAATCAATTAGAATCATTTGGCCATGTGTAGTGTTCAAGTGGAGACCAAGGAGTGAATCTGTTAAAAGGGGTGATTGGAGTGTAGTCAGAGAAGCTATAACCTGGGATGGACCTTGTTAATAACCATTACACCAAACTCCAATGTTGTGACGATGATTGAGAGTTGTATTTTTATATTCTACATGCCCCTCTAGGTTGGGGGCCCTACCTATCTATGGGCTGGAAACCTGTGATCGCTCCTGACTCATGCTGGCGAGTCGACCGTTAGGCGAACCTGGATTTGAGTCCCGTCGACGTCTACGCGGTTTAGGTTCGTGTCAGAGAACTGGGCGTGCGAACTCTTCTCGTAGACAAATTCCTTGTAGACCCATAGAGGTATTTTTCACCGTCTACACTTGGATCTTTAACTCAAGGCGATTAGTCCTTAAATCAAAGAGCACCAAGCTCTGGAGGGGGGGTGATTAGGATCTTATGCTAATCTAATCCGATTTTATACCAATTAAAAATAATTAACAAGTTATCCTAGCAAGTATGAAATACAATAAGATATATGAGCTAGGATAAGCAATGTAAAAAATGAGATATATCCTATATGATGAAATAAGGATATATAAACTAATACAAGAGTAAACAAAATAAACTAGATAGTGGATGATATAAATAATGAGCTATGTACAATGGCGACAAGAAATATAAACATAAGATTAAGTGCGCCAAAGCAAACTCAAACACACGATATGATCACGGAGTTCGGACCTTCCGTCCTACATCTCCGCTCCACACTCCTGGGGAGAAATCCACTATCACAATCGGGTTTTCTACGCTCACCCGAATAACGTTTACACCTCACAGTGTCGGTTTTCAACGCTCACCGAACAACGTTCACTCCTCACACTCGGTTTTCTAGTTCACCGAAAACTTCACAACACACTCGGTTTTCTAGTTCACCGAAAACTTCACAACACACTCGGTTTTCTAGCTCACCGAAAACCTTACAATCTCACAATGTAACAATAAATGATTTGTTCTCTCATAAAGCATAACTCAATGTTACAATCTCTCACAACCCTAATATACTATGTATGCAAATACAATAAGCTCAAGTGGGTGTGTGTAACAATGAGTAAAATCAAATCTAAACTCAATATAAAACTAGCTTTAATAGAAATGATAATCAACAAATAATTATAAATAAAAGCTAGAGTTGAGTTTAGGAAAACTTCTCTAGATGACAAGAGAGAGAGATGGATTGAATGCCCAAAATACAATTGATAATCTCCTCAAGCTCTTGTAAAACTTTCTTCATAAAGCAAATCCTTAAACAAGCTTAAAACAAGCTTAAACTCTTTTTAAAACTCTTTAAAACATTCTCTTTTGTTTTTAGAGTTGAAGGTAAAAGGAGGTATTTATATAAACCCCAAAGCCAAGAGAAAGCCAAGAAAAAGACCAAAAAACCACACTGCAACGGCTCTGGAAACTAGCCGTTGGGACTGATCTGACAGAGCGGCGGTCGACCGCGACGGTCGACCGCGAGCAATCAGAAATAGGAAAAAAGCTCTGGACAAGCGACGGTCGACCGCGGCGGTCGACTGTGAAACTCTCTGGACTTGCGACGATCGACCATGAGCCAGCAAAAACAGTTCTGAGTTCAGAACTCTTGGCGGTCGACCGTGGCGGTCGACCGCGAACTGACACTACAGAAAAACAGGTTTGAAAACAGATTTTTTGACTTTTGGAAAATTGTTAAAAATAACAAATGAAGTCAAAAAATTATGAAACTTTGGGAAATGTATATAAACATGTAAATGAACATGTTACAAAAAGAATTTTCCAAATTGCATTTTCCATTTGTGAAAAATTATCATTTTGCAAAAATAGTCCAAAACACAAAAATGTAAACATGTGAATTTTGAAATTTAGACTATACCATGTTTTGAAACTTTGCACAATAATTATATAGACTTAATAAAATATGTATAAGATTATTGTTAAGTCCAAAAACTAAGAATACAATGTTTTTATAAATACAATAGAAAACTCAAAAACACATCGATTCAAGTTCGGATCCGGATCCGGTTCAGAATTCGGGTTCTCTACCCGACCCGAGTGCTTCAGTGATCAGCATCGTGATATCGCAGCCGCCGGAGGAGAAACCGGCGATCTCGAAGAGCGACGCCACCGTGGCCGCCGCGAAAAAGGGTTTCTTGCCTCGAGACAACAGCTACCACGAGCAGTGCAGGTAAAATTCCAATAAAGTTGCAATCTTTTGTTGATCTGATTGAATTTTTTTTTGTAGTTTTTTTTATTGAATTGTGATGCTAAGAGATTTAATTTAGTTGGATATACCCTAAAAACCTAATTTTGCAAATAAATAATTTTTTTTTGAAAGGTAGGTATTGATTGCAGGCACAAAATGAATTTCTTTGCGATGAAATTGATTCATTCAGGGATCTTATGGACATGAATTAGGTTATTCTAGATAACTAGAAACAAACAACTAAATGACTGAAAATGTTGGATCTAAAGGGTTGTGAAATGTTATGCTTAGTTGTTTAATAGCTTGAAAATTGAGAAATTTTTAAACAATGGAAGTAATGAGGGTTATCAAAACTACAGTATATCTTAATCATGGTGTCTTGATAAGTTCGGGTTCGACCTATGACTCAAGCTGACTTATGATTGGGCGAGAATTTCATTGTCAATGCCGTGCGTATTGGTCTTTAGTCCATATGTATTTCCATTGGAATTTCTTTATCGTATAATGATTGAATTATTTGTTATTCTTGAAGATGTTGTGATTGTATCGAATTCATTATAGGTTGGACTTGATTTGGAAATTGGGATTTTCCATTGGAATTGTCATTTCCAATTTTCAAAGTTATAAATTTTCCAGTTATTAGTTTCTTGGAGCATGAGGGGGTAAGGACATTTGAGCCAGCATGTGCATTTTGTTCACATCAAAAAATGAAATGAGAAGACAAAGAAGAATAGGGATTGTCAATAATACGTTGTGCTCGGTTTTGTTGGACGTTGGAGAGTAGGACATAAGATGTATTAACATGAAGGATTATTCAAGATAAGGCTGTATATTATTCCTTCTCTATTACTCTTTTTTATGTAAACTTAGTTATACCCTCCACTCAAAATATGATCTATCACTTCCACTAATAAAAGTTCTTCATTTAAATTATGATAGTCATGCTATCCTTGGAAGTTTGCTAAAACTATTTAGAAGACTGGTTATCAGTACATTTTACATTTTCTTACAAATCAAGTTGGAGACAACTTCAGTCGAAGAGAAAATGAAGGAAAATCAATTAGAATCATTTGGCCATGTGTAGTGTTCAAGTGGAGACCAAGGAGTGAATCTGTTAAAAGGGGTGATTGGAGTGTAGTCAGAGAAGCTATAACCTGGGATGGACCTTGTTAATAACCATTACACCAAACTCCAATGTTGTGACGATGATTGAGAGTTGTATTTTTATATTCTACATGCCCCTCTAGGTTGGGGGCCCTACCTATCTATGGGCTGGAAACCTGGACTCATGCAGTAAGTATCAATTTTTTTGAAATCCGCATTAAATTTGTGGCTAGTGGGATTCGAATATGGGTTACTCTGATACCATATTAAAGTCCCTGACCATTATACCAAAATTATGAAGTTATGATGAGGGTTGAGAGTTGTATTCTTATATTTTAACAGACCTAAACCAACATGAATTAAGAGTCGAAAGGGCGCATGGGGTTTTAGTATGATAGAAGAGATGGCACTTGACAGGAATTAATAGAGTAAACAAAATCATGGGAAATTTGGATGGTTCGTACTGCTGTTATATTATTTTAACCAGTAATTTTCAGAAAAAATAAATGAAAGAAAATAATACGTCCTTACAATCTGTAGAATTTAGGATTATTGGTACTAAGTAGTTACGGGTTGATTTTCTGCTTATGGTCCTGCCTCGCTTTAATGAATGAACTTCGTCAGTCACATTTCTCACTAATTTGTTATTGGCTATTTGAGATTACTATAGAAATATTCTTCCATTAACATTTAAACTTGTTGAACTTTATGGTTCATTTTTTATCATAGGGCCTAATCCCTAAAGTTTTCTCTCTGCCTAGCATCTGTAGGTCTAATCACCACCAAAATACTGAAATTATTACTTCATGTTGAAACCTTACCAGAGTTTGTCAGCAACAGGCAGAGGAGCCTCTAATTGATCTTGGATGCAGATGTCGAGGGGATCTTGCAAAAGCGCACCGCTCCTGCATAGATCTTTGGTTCCAGACTAGAGGTTCAAATAAATGTGAAATATGCCAGTAAGTTAGTCATAGCATTTTAAATTTTTTCCTTCTCCTGGCTGTGGAACTGCTCTTATATTTAGTACACATTTTTTCTTTAGGCAAGTGGCTGCAAATGTCTCATCTCCAGATTCTCAACCAAGTGTAAGTATATGCTGTTATGGGACTGTTTCTTTTGGAGTGTTTCAGAAAGTTTGAACTGAAATTGATATAGTAAATTTGATATATGGTGCATATCTATATACTATTCTTTTCTGCATGTTCCAGTTATTCTGCACTTTCAATGTTAGTCTTGTGTGCTATCTTCCTGCTTAAGAAAACTGGAAATAAGGTTTGTCAAGACTTTTGGTAAAATATGAAGAATAGTTTGAAAGAAAAAATTAAATGGTTGCAATTCTATGAAGTATAACCTCATTAATAATTGGAACTCAATTGGAGTATAGATGATTTCACCTATCAAGTAAATATGTGTTTCCCATTTATTGGAACAGACAAATTATTGGGTATGGAGGGTCAACACAGCCTATGGAGGGACTAATAATGGACAAGGAGGCCGTGCAAGGGTATTTATGATATTATGATTGAGTTATAACGGCTATTGTTTTCTCCATTATCATCACCATTCAAAAGTGATTATCAAGTTATAACCATAATCATCAATGACACACTTGATGGCTCATTTCATGCTGCTGTAGATTTCCTTAACTTTTTTTCTTAACAGGGATGCTTTAGCCCGCTCTGGGTTGCATTCGCCATTCTAATCGGAGGACTTCTGTTGGATGTGCTAATATCTGTTTCCCTTGGTGTTTCTGCGCTACCTGTGAATATAATTATTGGTAACTTCTTTCCCTCCTTATAAACTGAAATTTGTTATCATTTTTTTCATAACTACATTGAGAGACAAGTTTTTGTTGCATGAAGAAAGGGGTAATTCAGAAACCAATGTGGGGTCAGACAGTCTGCAACCTTCTATACTCATTCTTCATAATGAAACAAGTTCTGAATAAAGTGAATACTATTAATTATGGAAGATACTATAGTAAGTATTTTAGGCAGTCACATTCATCCCATTTTGCTGTTCTTTTCTGGAAGACATTAAACTCTAAGACCAACATGCTTGCAGTTAAGAAACAACATGTGCGGAAAATGAGTTTAGCTGGAATGAAAATGCTATGACAGACTTGTGGATATACACTAAGAGATAAGATAATAAATGTGTTTATGTAGAGGAGGTTAGATGTTGCTTGTGGATGAAGTGAGGGAGAATTGATTAGATGGTTTGGTCAAGTGTAATGAAGGCCACTAAATGCAGAGGAAATCATAATATTATAGTTAATAGAGCAAGGAGGACTATAGATAGGGTAAATGAACTTGGTTGGAGGCAACTAAGAAGGTAATTGTTTTAACGGAGGAGATAAACCCTTGGTAGAACTGAATGAAATGAATACGATTAATATAGCTGACCCCAAAAATTTTGATAACTGTTTTTTTTTGTTGTTGCACCTTTATTTAACTCTAAACTTCATTGCTATGATCATCTGTTGCTTTTTCGATCACCAGTCTGTTACAGGGGGTGGGGTGGGGGTGGGGGGTCCCCTTTGATTTTTTCCTGCTAAGTTTGGTCGGAAAACTTTATAACAAACTCGATTTCATCGATGAAAACTCTTGCAATGTAGGTGTTCTCATTGTGCTTGGGTTGGGAACTGCGTTTCGGCTTGCACTGGAGTGCTGCCAAGACTGGGGATCTCGAAGACACGTGCAGAGCATGGACATCCCTATAAACCCTGGGTATCATCCTGCCGTGTAAATATACTTGTGTGTATAATAATACACTTCATTATACAAAGAATGCCAGTTTCAGTCTTTGTGGGTTTTAGCCTGTTCATTCTTCGTAGTGAGTCTACCTCATAAGCAGTTGGTTTGACGTCAGTTATAAACTTCCAGTGTCAGTTTGTTCAATCTTTTTGTTATGTTTTCCTCTTGCTCATTTAGAATTCTCTAAATCGGCTTATTTGTATATTTCGTACTAGGAATTTAATGTAATTTTACAGGTTCTTGTGTATTTTATGGCTGCTTTCTACTGTGTACAGTTAGTTTATGATGATATTATGAAGCATTTTATCCTTGAGTTGTAAAACGAGCGCCCCTTATGAGAACA